AACGTAATTACAATGAGCACACGACAAGACATAAGATATACAAAACAAGATCTGAGAGAAGACGCTGTCTCTTTTTATAAAGATGCATTATTTTTAGAAGCATAATCTAGATACATTTATTAAGTGGTTTAATTAATATTTATTATTATTTACACCTTTGGATTTTGTATGTATTATTTTAAATTTTGATTTAGATACATTCTAGATAGGAGTTTGCTTCCATCTCTTGTATTTCACTATATCTAAAACAAAAGATACAATATCTGGAAGATTTAAACCAGGACAATTAATGTAGCTCCTTTCTAATTTCCCAAATCAAATTGAAACCTAATTGTGTTTGATAAACACTCTGGAATTTATCTAAAGGCTTCGTTTTGGAAAGATGCAAAGTGTAGCATAAAATCCTAGCATATTTCCAATATTCAATCTAAATCCCAGCAAATCTTTGTCAGAACCCCTCCCGGCTAATCCCTGATTGACTCAACCCCCATGGAGATTTATACCTGTGTGTTTTGTCAAGGGGTGTTTCTGCGACACATTCGCTTGACTTAATTGACTGCATTATTTATGAGACGTTCTTTGGGATGACCAAAAGAAAAGGGTTGACATACGGCCAGGGGCGATGGCAGTGCTCCATCATGGCCAGTAGTGGTCAGTGCCTTGGGCAGACAAAATGCCAAGATGTGGGTGCTGAATACGGGATACGGAACTATTTCGTCTCGTTGCGCCCATGAAATATTCACCAAGTCAATTTACCATAACGGAATGTGTTCTTTACACAAGTCTTTTCCTAGTTTATGGGATGAAAATTCATGTAATGTATATTATAAATTTAATATTATGAACCTATGAAGGAGTTAAGTTTACAGAAGAATTTTAAGAATTAACTAATTTCACCAATTGTTTATCACATAAACCCAGTATATAACAAAATATTTCCCCATAGTTAATAATAGGGTCCTGTAGATGAGACAAATATTTCAAGCTTCAATTTCGTTATTCTTTGAATTCATTCTTTTTTACACTTAAATTTAGGTATTGCACATTTCATGTAATAATTTCACAAATTCTTTACTCGCATAAACCCATTTGATGTACCTAATAGATGTCTTCAGGGATTCGGGGATTGATTTGCGAGCCAGAAAAAGTAGTGAGGTCATTAATTAAGTGGAAAGTATCAGAAGGGAGTCCCTGCTCGATAACGACGGGTATCGTTTGTCAATATATAAATATATATATATATATATCCCCAAGACCTGTGGACCCTTGAACCCTTCTTCTTTGCATCAGTTTTTGGACGAAGGTCGAATCATGGCGACCGTGACCAGACTTCCGGTCCAGCACCAAAAAGAAGATCGGGTTCGATGCGTTTGCTGAGAGTGGATCTCGTCCCCGCGCGGGAATAAAAAAATAAATTACTTTAAACGGTTCCGAATAGCAAATTGCAGATTGTCATTTCGAAAGACATACCTTGCCACACATATCAGTGTCAATGACTGGGAACTGGGACTTGGCTTTGGACCTGGAGCCTGGAACCTGGATTGGGGGGCCGTACCTGGGCCCGAACCCCTTCTCCTCTCTGTGTGTGTATGTTTGTGGGCAATCTCGAGATGACGAATGACCACAGGAGAACGCAGAGTGAATCGGGATCACGAGACGCGGCAATAATGCGAGGAGCCTGAGCCTGGGACTGGCTCCGGCAAATTCGCGAGAATTGAGATTGGCTTGAATTCTTATAATTGAGCCGAGCAGATTTTTAAATCTCTTCCTTTTGTTCCCCCATGTTTTTTTTTTTTATTTTTGCTGACACGGAGGGATGCCCTGGAAAGGGGAGACCAGCCATTCCATTCAGGGTTCCCCTCTTCTTAACTTTTAGAAAGGAAATGCGGAAGGGAATTCAGAGTCCTTACTTATTGATTTCAAGCTCAAGTTGAATTTGAGTTCAGATATTATCATGGGAGATAGCAATAAAGGAATCAATTTGGGAATGGGAATTGTTTATAACAAATAGCAATGATGATTGTGATTTTGAAATTGGTAAAGTTTTAGGGAATAAATCTATATACTTTGCCTATTTTGTTGGTAATTGTTAAGTGACGAAATATTTATACTATGTGGTATTCTTTATTTATATTGCATTTTAATTTAAATGAGAAAGAAGTCTTTGAGGTCATGTATTAGTGGTGACATTTGGAACCTCTAAATAGTTAAGAGATTGGAATTGCTGCTTTCTATAGCACCTAAAATCCTCTATATTCTGTATATGACATCAGATCCTATTTCAAACGAACTAATTGCTTAAAATACTGCTTTCAAAATAGAATTTTTAACAATTTAAGTTCGAAGCTCCACCCTAAATATTAGATATGTCTTTCCAAACTATGAAAGACTAATTAACAAATAATTTCCAGACCATACAATAGATTAAGTCACCTGACACTTTTCATATCTATCAATAGATAGATTTTCCCTCTATATTTTAACCTTTCCAAAAGGATCGATGGTAGAAACCATTGAATATATTGAATGGTTTGAGATCGACAATATGCTTTGGCCACGGTAAACTACCGGCATTGCCCTGAATTATTGACATCTGGTCCCATGGCATCAATCTACCGGCAGATTAAGAGCACTTGAGTGCTGCTCCTGCTCCGGCTGCTGCTGCTGAGGCAACCTTCTATTACACAGGTACAAGAGGTACACGGTGTGTGCTTGTATCTACCCATAATGCAAGTGCATCCAAGTTCAGCCCCAACTTTGGACCCGGCCAAATGTAATTTCGCCGTCTGACCAGCGATCCCTTCTGTCCCAAGCCGCATTCGGTGCACTTTACCAATATGGCAGTTTCGTTGACGTTGCCTGTTTCAGTTACACTGTGCAAATTTTTATATAAAATATGATTGAGGGGAATATTAATAACAATATTTGTATACCTAAACCAAGTTAGAAAATATAAGGTTAAGGTTCTTTATTAATAGAGAAAATATATATTTAAAATGGTTTTAAGGAACAGATTAAGACTAGTTAGTTGTAAGTACTCATAGCAACTAGTAAATTTAACTTGCTGGCAGTTATATATATATGTATATATATGGTCCACCGATTCGCCATGCTCCGACTTATATACTAGTAAAATTTTATAGAAGAATAACTTCATAGTTTCATTCAAATAGTTTGCTCTTAAATTTGTTCCAAAACAAATCTCTCACATAAAAACATATAATTCCCAACTAGTTATAACATCTCCGGAACGAAGTGACTTCAACCAGCCAAGTCTCAGATATGTGTTGTGTTACAAAAGTTGCAAGTCATTGTTTATTAGTGTTCAATGTTAGTAACTGATCATACATAATTACTGATCATAGTTATTCATTGATCATATTTACTTAATGTTCATTGATACTAATTGATCATAGTTAATGACAGTAATATTATATAGTATTCCGATTCCATTAAACTAAAACCGAAAATCTATATTAATTCCACTGGAAGCTGATCATTTTTTTGGTTCCGTGTGATGCTGCTGCTGTTGCTGTTGCTGCTGCTGCTGTCGTCAATCGCTGGACTTTGGCTGGATGTTGGGGCGGGCAGACTGCCATCGTATCGAGAGCGTGTAGCAGAATTCGTGCCGTGACCGCCCCTTTCAATTCTGTATTATCAGATTAGCTCTTTCATAAGCTATTTGTTGTTGCTGCAGCCGCAGTTTGCCGCTGTAATGGCACTGACCGCCAGCATTAAGTTACGATCGGTTGTTGGGCTTAGAGTCGTGGTATAAGGGATTCCTATATCCCAAGCCTATGATGGCCAAGATGCCGATGATGACACTGCTCGTTGTCGGGATCCTCGGCCTTAAATGGGAATTAGAGTTGGGTTAGCAGCAGCAGCAGCAGCATCATTCAAGCTCCACGACAGGTGCACTTAAGTAAGACGATGCAGTAAGCCGAGGTTAGCTAAAGCCAGGCAGCGGAGAAACAAACAGACAGAGTTTCGACCAGGGGTCATTCCCGAGCGATGAACGAAAGATATGTACGTCATATGCCGTCAACTAATCTGGACTTCATCGCTATATCACGACAGTGTGCAGGTTTTGGAAAGATGTTGAGAATGAATCTTTGTTGGGAATGCATGTCTATATGTATATACATGTGTTTAAGAACTGAATTATTAACCAATGAAGTTTATGTTGAAAATGTTTTAAGGGGTTTGTATATAGGGGAATATATACTATGAATTATTAAGCAAAGAAGTCATTAAACTCTGGCTTAAGTCTTTCAGTGTTTCTTCGTAATATGGAATTTATCATATTCTCTTGGAAATTGTATCACCTAAATATTATATATGATATATATATATATAGTATTTGGCCTTCCCCCGGATTTTTAATAGTCATTTGTCATTTGTCCTTTGAACTTTTCTTTATTAAAATATATGTTAAACATTGGGATATATCTTATATATACGATTCATATAATCACATTTTATAAAAGGTAATGAGAACTTGGAATCCATCAGATTGTTTGGGTTAAGTTTAGGACACGATGTTGCTTCTATTACTGCTCCTTCAGCTTCTACTCATCTTTTTGTTACTGCTCATCATTCTTGGATGTTGCTGGAACTAATTAAACCAAGCCGCGTTCTACGCCAAGCGATGGACTTGAATCAATGATATCCAAGGTCCTAGCGCCACAAGCGCTCCACTGGCTGTCGCATCCACTTGTCGGCATAGACACTAGGATAATGTTCCAGCTGATGTTGCTGCTGATGCTGCAACTGGTGTTGCTGCTGCTGCTGCTCATCCGGACGAAGAAAGTACTGCTGCTGATGATAATGATGATGCTGCTGCTGTGGTTGCTTTTGATGATGAAATACAGCCGCCTGATGCTGATAACTCTGATACATGGCCAACTGCTGGCGGTACTGATACTGTGCATATAGCTGCAACTGCTGCTGATAAGGATGCGGTGCCGCATATCCCTTGCCACCGTGATGATGCAGTGCACCCGTCGATGCTTTAACACCTGATCGTGTTGCAAGATGCTGGGCTCCACTATGACCACGACGCAGACGTCCCGTTGTCTCACCAATGGTTAGATCCTCTGCATAAGGATCTAAAGCCCAATAGTGACCTCTACCGGGATCATCGAGGGCTCGGGGCACTCGAACAAAGCAGGGATTTAAGCTGAGGTTATGCCTAATGGAATTCTGCCAGACACTCTTATGGCTTTGATAGTAGGCAAAGTTGTCAGCAATCCATTTACAAATACCACTCAGGGTTAGTCGCTTCTCTGGACTACTCCGGATGGCCATCACAATGAGGGCGCTGTATGTAAAGGCGGGCTTGGATACGGGACTTGAGTTGGAGCTGGAGCTGGGACTCGAATTGGAGCTGGAGCTGGGACTCGAATTGGAGCTGGAGCTGGGACTTAAGCTGGAACTGGGACTAGAGATGGAACAGGAGCTGGAACTGGGACTAGGACTCGAACTGGAGCTCGCTGTGCCACTGACTAAGCCTGGTCCTTCGTCGTAGGAAGCCTCTTCGGAGCTATGCCCGGAACCACTTGGACTTAATGGCGGATATGGCGTGGACTCATCCTTCTTGACTCCTCCAAGCAGGGAGCGTATGGAGAAGCTCGACTGGAAGACTGCTGATGATGTATCCATGCTTTCTCTCTTTGTGTTGTGTGTGTCTCTGGTTAGGATTGTCACTAGACTGTGCCCACTTCATCGCTGACCAAGCTATTTATCCTGGACGAAGCAGGGATTACGATGACATCCTGGTCCCAAGGGATACCAGCGATAAGCGATTAGCTTTAATCGCTGGTACAGAGAGTACGTGCTTAATGAAAAGCAGATCAATGGAAGCCAAAGCCCCTCGGATTCATTCATTGATCCCACATCCGCAAGTCCGAGTCCAAGTCCGAGTTTGAGTCGCAAAACGTTTTGTGGATTAGCGGCGGGCCTAGCGCACTCTAAATTGGATTAATTCTACCTGCCCACAGTGAGCCAAGGTCACCAAGGATACCCTTTCTATATAGTGGTGGCCTGGCCTAGATTTTCCAAATTTTTCCGGCATTATTGCTCAATCCAGCGGGCTAATCAATAGCCTCAAATATTTGTAAATTGTTCACGCTTGCACACAGCCTTGTCAGGAGTAGTCATTTTCCCGGAAAATGTGTGGGTCAAGTTAAGTGTTGAAATTATTTGTAAGAGTTCAAGAACTTGGATAAAATAGGAATTATTTATTATTATATTATATATATTTTTTTAATATAATATAAAAGGTTTATTTCTAGAGAAACTAGTTGCTCGATTTTAAATAAATCGAAGATGTGATGAGAAAGAAAGTTGTACTCGGGAAACCGAAATTTCTATATCTTTGCTGAGAAAATCCATCATAACTCAGTCAAAAATTTACTCATTTTAAATCGTACACCTTTTTTGGGTTAGTTTTTATTACGGTTATAAATCTGTTTACTCAATCTTAATTACATTTGATCGGAATTCGATCATGACACATGCTTTGAATCTATATTTATTGCTATTTTTATATGCATTTTTTTTTCGACAAATCAAAGATTTAAAAACTCATAACTAGGCCAAACATGTCTTAATTTGAATTCGGAAAGCTTTCCTATGTTAGTTTTTGAAAGGTTAATAAATTTGCATACTCAATTTAAAATGTTAAAAAATTCAAATTTTGTATCAATTATTGAAAAATTAAGCGATAAAATTATAAAATTTTCAAAAAAATTAAAAAATTGTGTTTTTCTGCCAGAGATGTGTAAATCGATTGGGCTGTTGATGCTGATCAAGAATATATATGATTTATAGGGTCGGAAATGAGTCCTTCACATATTTGCAAGCATTTGACTAAAATTATAATACACTGACACGGTTTAATAAAGGAAATACTAAAATATTTTTAACAAGCTAGAAAACTATTAGCTTTGGCTAATTTTTAAGTTTTCAAAGCATATACATATACTTCTGTTAATCTCCCTTGACTTGTTTCTTTATATTTAATGATTTCTTCTTGGTTAAAGATTCACTTTAAGAGGTGAATTTTAAATGCTATCACTGAATTAGCGGAAAATTAGCACTTTTCCGAATTTTTCAAACTTATGTTAATGGAGCTTAGGGCAAATTAATTCAAACTAGACCATAGTGTAAAGAAAAACCTTAAATAAGCCAGATAATCCTTAAATCAAGGAAAATACTTAATACCTTTCCCCCGAAACTCCTAATAAACTTGTTAAAGTTCTACAAGTTTCTTAATTCTTAAACCCACTCATTTTTCAGAGATTATTATGGAATCATAATCCCTTTTGTTAAAGTCTGCTCTTAGTCTTGTTGTTTCGCAAACCTTAGAGTGCGAATAGGAAAGCACAGAGGCACTGGCGCCCTACTAAGTGAGTTGGATATGCAGACAGTCATTATTTTGCATGTCCGACTGGCGGTGGATAGCATGTGCTGCCTCCTAACAATCTAAACTAACGCTAAATATCGAGAATAAACTGTTTTTTCTTTCTCTTTTTTTTATAAATCAAGAGGGAGGGGTTTGAGTGGGTGGAGTTGTGTCGGGGTTGGGTAGAAAGAGTGTCCGTGGTCGCAGCAATATTTACGATGTGATTTAACTGCCGGCAGCCCGGGGTGTGTTTTTCTCCCTCTCTTACTAACAAATTAGTTGCAGTTGGCAGGAGTACTACACTATCAGTTTTTTTTTTGGGGCTGCCACACCACATACAGCCCATTCCCATTCCCATTCCCAATCGCAATCTCACCTCCCCAATCCCATTTCCCAATCCCATTTCCCACACCCAATCCCATTTCCCGGGCCCACCAACAGCGGCACAAGGCACGCCCACCCACACTGACATGGCTTGGGGTCTCCTCCACGACTGCATGTGTGCCCTGGGATGCCACATGAATACAGTACATGCCCTCGTATATATCTCTACATATATCTCTATACATATATGTATATATCGCATCCATTCAAACTATCTGGGCAAGGACCCATATTACCTGTGCTGCTTCGTACTTTGGTGGTCGGTGCACTTTTGTCCTTATGTACAACTGATTTACATGCACGCATCCATGTAGCCATGTATCCAAGCAGGACGAACAGGAGCAGGAGCAACCTTCGGGACAACAACAAACCCAGTGGAGGAAGTGACGCCTTCGGGCACACATACTAAAATGTCCTCGTCAGCAGAAACTTCATTAGAATTGATAAAAAGATGGGAATAGGTCGATTTCTATATCGGAATACTTTACAAATTCATAAAGTAACCCATTTTTTAAAGTAGGAAATTATTAATATAGCAGGGTTTACCTTAAGAATTCTTAAGGTACTTATATATTTTCGATTCAAGTGAGAACAGGTAGAAAGACACTTTGGGACGTCAAAGACCAAAATCTCTTTTGAAATATTTTAAAAATAATACAACTTAGTAAATAAACATAAATTAATAGTATACTATTATACAAGATCATAAAAGTATATTTTTATGGCAGGAAACAAGTGTAAGGAACCTCTTTGTTAAGGCTTTTTTGCTTCTTTTATAAAAACTCTTCAGCAAACTTTGCTACAGAATTCAGACTTGGGAATTTTTAGGGCAATCGCAGCAATTACTTTGTTAAATTCGTTTAAAGATGATTGGCTTCCAAAAGGAAAGCTCCTCTTTAAATGCATTGTTTATGGTATTATAAATATGATTTGATAGTGCTTTGATCTACCTTAAAAATAACCTTTTTTTTAAGTTCCCTTTTCTGTTACAAAATCCAAATAAAAAACCTGACAGTGCTTACGCAATAAACCCCTTGGGCTAAGTTTGCATTTTTAAAGCGAAGGAATTAGAAACGATTTAAAATTGTTTAGAGTCCACCCCAGGGGCAGAACATCTATCCTCCCCCCTCCTGGAACATTGTTTCGCTGTGGCGCCACACTTAATGGCACATTAAGGTGGCAAAATGGAAGACACTTGCACATAGAGCCCAGGAAAGGCTCTCCTCTCCTCAGACACATACATACTTAAGGGGGGAAGTATTACCTACTATGGCACATATGCCATATGGTGGCATACGTAATGTATGTAAGAATATGTAAAAAGGGGGAGGAGAAGGAGTACGAGGACGAGGACGTGCCGCTGGTACGGATATCCCGTTGCCAGTGTCTGCTGTTGTCGTTGCTGCCGCTTGCCGCTTGTTTTCTGCGTGTCCGCTGCAGGCTTAACGATAACATTGTGGCAATTTTATTTACCCATAATCTGTTGTTGTTGTTGGTGTTGGTATTTTTTGTTGGAGTTTTTGTTGGTGTTGTTGTTGGTGTTGGTCCTTCCAGGAGCAGGAGCCAGGATACTGGCACAGACACAAAAACCCCCCACACAAACTAAGACCCCGAGCCAGACCGAGACCGATACTGATACCCCGACGGTGTATCCTGCCAACAGGAAGGAAGAGAGCGAATTTCAGCGGAAGGAAACACTAAAATGTTACTTTAAATAAATTGCACCACAGACCAGGGCACAGAGACCAGCTCAGCGCTTGGCTTAGCCCGGTTTGGCTCTGTTATTTTACCCGAAAAAAGGGGGAAGGCCATTGCAATGGCGAAGCAGCCGGCAAATGTTACTGGTCTATGCTGGCCCAGGGGTGACATGGCCAACCACACGACGCTCTTGCACCCATATCTCATGGTTATATATATGTATATATACGAGCAAGGCACACCCCATGGACACGGGGACTCCGACACGGACACCGACACGGACTGCATGTGCAGATAGATACTGGCACTGCATTTATTTATTTGGACACTGACGCCCTCGCCATAGCCCTCGTCCTCGTCCTCGTCCACGTCCTCGTCCACGTCCATGTCCATGTCCTCGCAGGGAACTGCGAAATTTACGAGCTCCCTTAATCGATCTAAAATTAAATGGCTGACTGGCTGGTTGGCAACCCTTTTGCTGAGAATAGCGAACCAACTGCCACTTCCATTGCTAGCTATCTGCAATCCTAATTGTTATCAGCAATTTGCAATTCCTCCCCCAAAAATGCAACTATCGTCCTCCGATGCGCTCAAGTTCATCCGATTTATTTAGTTCATAGGGGAAACTATTGTTCATAGTATAGATTTTAAACTTTATTCAGTAGCTAGGGGAAACTCTACATGTCGCTACAACTATATGTTACTTGTTTTAACAAATATCCTTGTCTTTAAATTGGGTACAGTCACCATAAAAACTCATCAGCAAATTTTCATACAAAAATCAAACTTGGGAGTTTTTGGTCATTCGATGCAAAAACTTGTTATTAATTGTTTAATAATTTGAAGTTGCATGCATGTCATAAAGGAAACACTTTCTCTTCTCTTAAAAAAATGTTTCTAAATAAGTCTTAAGAAATAATCTGTAAGCAATATCAAAACGATCTATAATTCGTATTAACTTTGGTACAGAATTCAGCCTTGGACATTTTAGCAAGAACTTTGCTAAATTGGGTAGTAATTTAAGGGTGTTTCCATTTCAATAGAAATTTTTACACTATATAATTTCATTCTTTGAAATTTAAAAAAAAATATTTCTAAAGAAGAAATCCCAAAATAAGCAATATTGCAATAAAAAGAATGCACAGTTGGGTATTATTAGGTTATTAATAACAAAAATTTTCCTAAATGGGTAAATAATTTAATAATAATAATAATAATAATAATTATTTAAATTTTTAAAAAATATTTCTAAAGAAGAAATCCCAAAATAAGCAATATTGCAATAAAAAGAATGCAGAGTTGGGTATTATTAGGATATTAATAGCAAAAACTTTCCTAAATGGGTAAATAATTTAACGATCTTTCCAATGCAAGATATTTTGAAATACTAAATATTTGCAAATACATATATTTGCTTAGAAAAATAAATGTGTAATTAAGAACACAACGATCTTTAATTCTTTACTTACCCAGCAAAGTCCCAACCGTTTTTCGAGATAAGTACAAACCAAGGTTTTTTTTTTAAAGAATTTTTCAGATATTTTATTGCAAACATATATAGCTTAAATATGAGTTGAAGGTATTTGCCTGGTTACTGTTTCAGAACTAACTAACCCACTATATAATTACTTTAGGATTTGTTTTTGTAATAAAGAAAACAACAAAACTCTATTTAATTCGGCTGGGATTCGAGACTAATCGAAATCAATGATTATCGTTAATCGGCAATCAGTGATCTCAGCAGTGTTCGTACAATCGATATGAATCGATAGGTCCGTTTATTTTTTGTTGTTGTTGATTTCTTCATATATATATGTATATCAAGCGTTTTGTCGTTGTTGACTCGTTTCATTTCCGTTTCCGTTTCTGTTGCCATAATATCGTACAATACACTTAGGGTTTTCTCCTCTCCGATTTAACAATAGAAAAAAAAAAAAAAAATTATTACACACGATATATATTTACCAGTAGAGGCGCTGCTTAATACCTACGTACTTACAAATTATCTCGAGTATCACTAACAATAATATTTATATATATATATATAAATATATATATATATATTTATGCATATATATTTATATATATGGTTAATTATTTATTTAGTAATTGTTACATAATTTCTTTGCCTTTCTAAAATTATCAATTCTCTACACAATTCTCGATTCGATATTATCGACACTCGATTCTTGTACACCAAACAACAACAGTATTTCCATAAATACAAGTATCCAAAAAATAAAAAATAAAAAAAAAAATATTGGGGACTCGTATTTATCATATTTTTATATATATATATATATATATATATTTATGTATAGAAAAAAAAATGCTAGTTGTTCCATCTAATATTTTATATTAGCAGTAGCCTAGGTGAAAGTATTTCGTATTCCGTGAGCCAAGTCCTCCTTAATCTCCTCCTTCTCCTGCGAAATGAGCAATGCCTTAGAGTCCTTAAGAGTCCTATTATGAGTAGCCTGATAATGCCTCTGAACCCACTCTAAATCGGCCGTGGATCTAATGATAAAATGCCAAAGCCTTGGCATAATACGAGGTACACGGTCATGATATGCGATCGGGGCTCTGCCTCTGTCCCACCTCCTCCAAGCCCACCCCATGTCCTCCACCCACCGCCGCCTGCGAATGCGGATACTCGGGGAGCGGGAACCACCGGAACCGGACCTGGAGGGTGAACGAGAGCGTGAGTGTGGCCTCTGGTTAGACGCTGGCGGTGTTATTGAATGCTGTGAATTCGAATCGGAGGAAGTGCGTCTACAAAACGGGCTCAGCCCACCGACACCCACACCCACACCAACTCCAACTCCAGCTCCGGCTCCGGTGGCCAGCAGATGTGGCGTCAATTGGGGAAACCGTGGCAGTCTCGGCAGGCCGGCAAAGAGCAGCGGATTACCACCGCCATGATTGAGCAACAGTCGAGGATCTGGTGATCCATCCACCAGTGGATATCCATGACCATGTCCCACAGCAAAACGATGCTGCAGTGCCTCGAAGCAGAGTGGAACATTCAAACCGTGAGCATGAGCACCGGCACAGATGCGTGCCAAAATCTCCGCCTGGATGCTACCCACTGCAGCTGGACCAACGCCCACAGATGAAGCTGCCGTTGCTGATGGATTACCAAAGCCTCCTGCAACGCCTCCACCACCACCACCACAACCACCTCCACCACCACCACCCTTGTTATTATTCAGATTGAGACTCATTAACTCCAGCAGGGGATCTGTGGGCAGTACGGGCAGCAATCCATGATCATCACTGGTGGAGAGCAACTTGCGATGCAAATTGAGATTGGAACTGTGCCGATCTCGACTCCGTTTGGAGGGAAATGCTGCATTGCAGCCATCAATGTTGCACTTGTGATGGAGCTTCAGATGCACGCTCTGGTAGTGAGTCTTCAGGTGGAAGTGATTTTGGAATATCTCGCCGCAGGCAGTGCATTTCAACGGATTCTCCTTATCGATGGGCACCTCGGGTTCGGGATCGGGTTCGGGCTCCGGCTCTGGCTCAGGTTCAGGCTCTGGCTCCGGTTCAGGCTCTTGCTCCCGCTCCAGTTCTGGCTTTAAAGACTCTGGCTCGGAGTGAGGGATCTGATGCTCCTCTGTCTCGCTGCGTAATCCATTTTCGCCCTTCCTGTGGGTGTCACCTGTTAGCTCATTGTTATTATTGTTGTTATTATTGCTGGGAGTTCTCCTGCTGCTACAGACGCCTTCATCCTCATCATCACCACCCATGAGCTCCTGCTTAATGCGCAGATATCGATTCTCATCCGCTTCGTAGCTCAACTCATCCAGGGGTTCCATCTTAATGTTGGCTGCACCCAATGACAGATCCAACGTGTTGCTGTTGGTGCTCTTCTTCTGCTCCTCCAGCTGCTCCTGGTCTGGCTCCAGTTCGTGCTCTCGTTCACTTTCTTTTTCCCGCTCCTGCTCCCGCTCCTGATCCTGCTCTCCACTGGTATCCTGCTCCGTCTTGATACCCAGAGCAGTCGGCTTGAGGTCACCATAAGGTGTGAGCGGTGGTGAGGGTATCGATTTGGTGGACTCACCCACCTCCGTTTCTTTGGCTGATGCGGCGGCCTGCATGGGCAGACGCACCTTCTTAATGGACAGATCGGCGGCCACATCGTAATCCACCGAATTGTCACCAGAATTCTCATCCGATTGCACCGGACACCGTACTGGATTTTGGCTCTTACGTTTCCGCTTATTGGCCGCCATTTGGGCCAAAGCCTGGGCATGAGCATGAGCCTGGATATGGGCCTGGACGTGGGCATGCTCATGGGCAAGGGCATGGACATGGGGATGAGCATGGTGAGCGCGGGTATGGGCATGGATATGGGCTGCGGCCTGGGTGTGCGAGTGACTTAGGCACTCCTCCGCCGCCTTGACCGAACTGGGCAGCTCTTTGGTTTGACTGTGGCCAGAAATGGCCGAAGCGGAGCGCTCATCGCTCTCATCCTGCTCGTGATCATCATGTTCCCGATCATGATCGAGTTCATGCTCATTCTCATGATCGTTTTCATGCTCCAACTTTATGCTGTCCAGCTCATCGCCCACTACCACAATGCCATCGGGATCATCATCGTCATCGTCTTCATCCCCATCAGCATCGGCATCGGCCTCGTCCTCATCATCATCGTCATCGTCGCCCAAATGGATGCCAACCTGCAAAGGATAAGGGTTTAACATGTCAAAAGGATCAATAAGGGAAATCTTTAGGAGATTAAGGGAATATATATAGAGAGATGATTCTTAAGGATAAATGCCACCCACCTCGAGTATCTCATCATCATCCTCATCCTCTGTATGCTCATGCTCCTGCTGCAGCTTCCTGCGTTGACCCTCATAACGTCCCGCATCTAGGTAGGATCTTTGCAGATAATCCTGACCATGCTTTAGCTCCAGAGCTCCAGCTCCCACTCCTCCGGCTCCGGCAGAAGCACCTCCCATTGCATGATGCCTTAAATCCGGTGGCGGCGTCAGCAACGGAAAGCTACCAAAGGGAGCCAGTCCAGCCATAAGGCCATTCGGTGCCTGCAAAAGCAACGGATGCGGCTGGGCACTGCGTCCATCATGTGGCGAGATCTTGCGCCGCAAATGCGGCGAATGGAGTTTGGGATTTGGATTTGCGCTATGACGATTCCTCGAACGTCGCGAACTAAACATCATGCTGCAACCATCCACAGTGCATTTGTGCATCTCCCGCAAATGCACGGCCGAAAAGTGAATCTTTAGAGCACCTTTGTCGCAGAAAGTCTTCAAGCAGACATTGCACTGAACGCGTTTCTTTCCGGTCACAGGATTGATGAACTGAGTACCCAAATTGGCGGGCATGGAGCCCCACTGCCGCTTGCCACCACCACCACCTCCTCCTCCTCCGCCGCCACCACCTCCTCCTCCTCCTCCTGGAGAGTGCGTCTTTCTGCTGGCCCTCAGATTCGAGGACAGCGCCAGTCGGGTCATTCGCTGGGAATTGGAGCCTGAATTCGAGCCCGAATTGGAACCCGAACCAGAACCCGACACAGAGCCCGAGGCGGATGAGGAGCTACCGCCACCGCCACCAGCGACCTTGTCGCCACTCCTTTTGCCACCCACGCCACCCTCCTCGGCGGTCGTGTGTGAATGCTGATGCGGATGTGAATGCGAATGCGGATGCGGGTACTGGGACACACCATGCGGCGGCGGTGGTGGCGGCGGTGGAGAGTGCGTGTCCGAGCCCGGTGGATGCAGGGGTGGTGGCGGCGGCGGTGGCGGTGGCAGATGATATGCCATTGCCATGGCGCTAAAGAACTGATTGCTGCGATGCAGGTGATGCTGATGCTGTTGATGCTGATGCTGGGCATGCTGCTGATGATGGTGGGCAAACTCCGTGGGACTGGGCAATGGACCGGCAAAGGCTCCCAATGAGGCGGAGCTAATTTTGCGAAAATCAAATGGTTGCATATTCTGCAAATCGCTGAGCGGATTCTCTGGCGTTGGACCACTCCCTGGACCCGTGCCCGATCCTGGACCAGAACCGGAACCCGTACCGGAACTAGAACTATTCCGGGCACTCGCCGACAGCTTCTGTTGCAGCTGACTCTGCAAATGGAGCTGGGCATGGGCCAGCTGGGAAAAGTGTGCGCTCATCGACTGCGTCTGGCTGGAGCGGCTGGACGGCGAATGCTGCTGTCCACCGCCGTTGCCGGCACTGGCATTCGGATTGTGACCGTGACTCAGGGCCAGCGGATGACGCAGCGGCAGCGTCAGGGGCAGCGGGAGCGGTAATGTCAACGGCGGCAGGGGTGGCGAACTGCGGCGACTGGAGGTCATCACCATCGGGAAGGATGCGGGTCCCGAATCCCGTTCGACGGGACTCAGGCGCTGCTCGGCGGTGCCCCGCGACGGATGGGCAAGCGGGAGCGGATGTTGCTGTTGCTGCTGCTGCTGCTGGTGGCTGCTGAGCGGAAGCGGATGATGCCGCTCATGGCCGGGCAGCTGGTAGTGATGATAGCCGAGCAGGTAGGATGCTGAAGGACTGACGGTAATCACGGGAGCGTTGCTTGTGCTGTTGCTGCTGGAACTGGAGTTGGAACTGGAAACGGTGGCAGTGCCTCCTCCACTGGCAACAGGGATTTCTTGCTGCTGCTGCACGGGATCTGCGATGCGACTGCTGGACTGTGGCTGAGGCTGAGGATGCGGATGCAAGTGCGAATGCTTCTCCTGGCCAATATTCATCAAGCGGCTTACAAACTACGGCTAATCGGTAGATTTTTGTTTTGACGATGTAGTAGACTAGATACAGGATGTAGGTTGCAGGTTTGCAGGGTTTCAAGGTTGCAGATTGCTGGTTTCTGGTGCTTTTTCAGGGATCCCTTTGTGGCTTAGCTCTATTCGTTGCCTTTTTAATCGTTGGCTGCAAAGAAACAAAAGGCAAACACAAAGGATATGTTAGTTTATGTGCTATAATATTGTGAACTATATAATTTTCTATACAAATTAGCATTCTTTAAGACTTCGTTGGGCTCCAAATTGCTAAAAGCAATGAAGTCCTAAGGCGTTATACATCTTATAACATTTTTAAGGTGTTTACTCAAAGTCTGGGGCAACACCTTAACTCCTTTTATCAATTATTCTTAAAAGCTATATGCTAGACCCTTCTTATGTTATCTATAGCATAAATAATCTACAGATTTTGCATTGCATTTTGGCACAGAGAACTACATAAAATAATAATTTTTAAAGGGTATAACAGAGTATTTTCGATCTAGGTGTGTGGCCTTATAAGAGATCTAGATCTGGGGGATCTGTATCTCGTATCTAGAGGTTCTCTTCCATGGGGGGCTCTTGGACCCACATATCTGCCATCTGAAACATTGTCCACCAGCTCCGGCGACCAGAGCTCAAGGAGTTTCCACTGAAACCATCTAACGAAGTGGACATCAGGCCATGGCAGACCTCCCAGGCGTGCATACACGAGTACAGATGATTATTGAAAAGAAAAATAAGAATAATGATGTGACAAATTCTGAGTGGACACTTGACGTCTGCGGCGCTGGAGAGCCCGCACCGATGGACACTTGTGTGGACTGGGACTGGAACTGGAACTGGGACTGAGACTGGGACTGGGACTGAAGAGAGCTCGACGTGACATGACAATGCGAGAGTGTGTGCGTGCCGAAGAAGACGCTCGTCCGCGATGAAGACTTGGGGGCCACTTCAGGTCCCCGTCACCATCTCTTATTCTTATTTGTGCGATCCAGACCACGGACCCGTGATCGTGATCGCCATTCAACTTCACTAACTCGATCTCATTCTCGATCGATGTGATGAGTGCCGCTTGGCGACGAATACTTCACTTGACGACGATTCCAAATCGGAGATCTACTGAGTGTGTGTGTATTTAGCTAGATGATGAATCGAAACGGAACTAAGGCAATAGCAGATGTTTGATGGTCCTCGAAACAAATAGTTTCTTGACTCAAAAAACTTAGGAAACGAACTCGGCGAATCGTGTTGCCACACCTAGTTTTGCAAATCAAATAATGATTGTCTAATGGTAATTTATTAGCAAAAGAGCATCTGCTTGTATATAACAAAGCTATTTAAGTTATTTGTTTTTAACTGATACTATATCATAACTATTTATTTGTATTAGTGTCTAGTGGCCTAGATTTAATCCATGTAAATCTCAAGACTTGACATCAACCAAGAATCTACATAAATCTAGACTTGACTATATGTCAGTTTAAAGACAGATTATTTGTCAGAAGACAAGTAGAGCAATAATTATATATACAAATGCTTCGATTTGAACATGAAATGGTCTTAATTAGATTCAAAGAACTTTTATTATTATGAAGCGTAATGTTTTTACCATGAATTGTGATAACCAAGCTATATTTTGAATTTCTAGCTACAAATTCCACATTGGAAATTAATTTTTAATAATATTTCTCCACTGCTTGTAACATTTTTAAAGAAAGCAAATCTTAAACCTATTAAAGGTTAAACGATTTAAAAGGTATTGTTCTTTAGAAGTACAAAAAAATTTAAGAATAAATTAAATAGAAAGGTCGTACCTTTAACCCAATTCTTCACTGCTTTTAATATTTTAACATATAATATTTAATATCTTCTCTCATTCCTTAAAAACTACCTTATGTAAGAACTCACACTTAAATATATATCTAGCTCCCAGCAGTCAATTTGTGACATTTCTGTTTCGTATATAAACATAGGTTTCATATAATCCCCATATACCCAGACCCATTACCAAGCAATTTTTATTTTTATGGATAATCTGACGCACATTGTGTATTCCCGATATGGCAATGGCATGGCTCCTATTATTACACTGTCTTTGGACTGTGCCATTGAAGAGCGGGGGGACGACAACTTTGCATGACATATGTCATCTTGGCAAGTAATTTAAATGGTAAACAAATTGTTTTTTAATTGCCACCTGTTCGGACTGCTGCTGTAATGTCATTTATTTCGATTACGTTTCTGTTGCTGTTCTGTGGCTTTGTGTTCTGTGTTCTGTACAGATCTTGGAATCTGGCCTGGTCTTTGCCGGCATTTAGCCCCGGAGATGAAATGCGGCGCGACAGTGGTGGCTTTTAATTGCTTTCGGCTGATGTTTAATTTTTATTTTTTTACTCACTTACACTGCTAACTCTCCAAGTTGAGGTTCTGGCCAAACCAGTTTTACTTGGGTCGCACGTGTATCTGTAATCTGTAATCTGTATCTACATCTGCATCAGTATTTGTATCTTTTGGATGTATGTATGTATCTGTGGCGATCTGCTGCTGCTGCTGCGATCACTGATTGCATCAAAGTGACAGTTTTTGCAGTGAGTATTATTGGAGCAAAGCAATTATATAATTTGTTTGTTGTCTGTCTATAATTAGGGTACTTAAGGCCATAGTTGTTGGACCGCTTTTTGGCATCGTGTCTGCGGGATCAGTTCCGCTCGAACTGAAATTGAAACTGTTACTGAAACTGAAATTGTGACTGTGACTGTGTCTGTAGCTGTGACTGCTACTGAAGCTTAGCTTCCGTGATGGAGCCAGCACTGAGACATTAATGTGACTAAATTGCAGGCAATTGCAGTCACTGATGCTTTGTATTTTGGTAGCTAATTCTTGTATTTTGTAAAAATCTGTATTTAAAAGAAAGAAAGCCCTAAAACTGGGATATATCTTCTAAAATTAAGTGCATTTTGGAGTACTTTTAAAGAAAAACAATTTAAGTTCAAGGCAAACACCTTAAAAAAGCACATTGTTAAGGTGAAAAAGTACATTTTTCTCCAAGACTTAAAGGCACTTCATTCGTTTCAATAGTTTTATGGACAAATTGCCTTTAGTTTTGCTTTTGACATAGTCATGGATTGTCATGGAAAGTCCGCCTAAAGAAGGATGGAATAATTCCAGGGATTATTCGTCTTAAATAAATATAAAATTATATTTAATTAGTTTTTCATGGTATCTATTTAGTGATATATATACATATATTAATCTGTGCTTACTTTTCTCTTTGGTTTTTTGTAAATAATAATATTACATTCTAAAAAGCAGGCTTCTAGCATTATCCCTTTTAGAAAAATGTGTACACATATCACAAATACAACAGTGTATGTGTGTTCAAATACTTACTTACTTGGTGCACTTGAAAAGAGTGTACACACTGGGTATTAAAGTACAGTGCCATTTAATGATAAAGCACAAGGATAATCGCATTTAACTTCACTTTTAGGAAAACCTTATAACTGACTTATTTTTCTATATAAGCAAAGGTCATATAAAATATTGAAAATCATGCAAATATATCAGATTCTCGTTGCAATATAATAATATAAGTAGTGGTCCACCAAATAGCACTCTTAAAACAAAAAAGAACTTTTGTTTAAAACGAAACTTGGTTCAAAATCAGATGACTTAACCGTATAATAAGGACAAGCCTGATCAGAACCGAGATTTTCTTGGCTACACACACGTTTCTCCCCCCTTTATTCCAATCGATGCTAATGGTCAATTTGTGGGCCCCAACTCCACCAACTCCTCCAACTCCAACTCCTCACTTGGCAGACAGACAAGAGTCTGTCCGAGATGAGGAGCTCCAGCTCCTTTCAATTTTGAATTTCACATGAAACTCATTTTCGTCTCACAACAAAATTGCCGCTAAGCTGGCGAGCTCGTATCGCATCGCAAACCCTCGGACAAAAGATGAGAAAAATGGCATTCCAGACACCAATCATCTTTATTATTGGCTTTATCGCATAGAATCGGCGGCGGCGGCGCGGCAGCCGTCATAAGGAACGCTTCTCTTTTTTTTTTTTTTTGTTTTTTAACGCATTCCGAAGGCCATAAAGCATCGGCCATAAATGCGTGTTAAAGTCGGCCAACAGAACAGAAATTTTCAAATGTCAACCATTAAATGCAGGGCCAAGCAGATACCCCAATCCGGATACCCAATCCCCCCCTAAAATCCTCGATCCAACTGTCCCACGGCATCGCACAGATCACAAAGGAATCTCCCTTCGCCCGCCTTCGATTCTCTATTTTGTAAAACTTTATTTATGAAACACATAAAAAGTGTCAACACGGTTTGCTGCATATGAGATATGTTGGTCAGAGTTTAATGCCCCTCCTCACCTCTCCTCCGCCCCCGTGGACACTGCGGTGTGTGACCACAACGATGACGGCGGCGGCACCACTTCAGTTCCGATTATGTACGCCTCTGGATCGGAGCATCCAAGGGCTTAACAAAGTGATTTCAACGAAAGAAACCTTTTCCCATTTGTGTGTGTGTGTTTTGGATTTTGGCTTTCGGTTTATTTATTTTTATTTTTGCTGTTCAATATGCAAATCGCTTATGGGATCGTTGACGGAAGCCGCTGGGTGCAATCCCCAAGAGACGCAGCCACGGAATCCACAGATTCACAGATCCGCGAAGCCACAGAGCCACCGCAGAATCACAAAGGGAGAGCGCCAACAACGAGCGGTGCTCAATGGCAAGACATGAACACGAGCACGAACATGGACTTGGACTTGGAATTGGGATTGGGATTGGAAGTGGGACAAGGATTTGGAAGGAGACTGGGACTGGGACAGGGACTTCGGCTACTAAGCGAACACGGGCAGGGAGTGCGCCTGGAACTGTGCGACAAATCCAGCATTTGGGAAACAGTGATAAAAATTATATAGAATTATTAAATAGCAAATTAAAGAAAGATAAGATTTGTAGCTTAAACCCATTGCAAGTCCTTGAATTGCTAACAAAATCCATTATTTTAACCTGAAGAAGCTTGAAACGCTGTGAAATAGTCATTTCCGACCCCATAAAGCATATATATTTTCGATCAGCATCAACGGCCGAGTCGATCTAGACATCTTCGGATAAAAAAAATATTTTTTAATTTGTTCAGAATTTTATAAGGGGTTACATCGTTAAAATTTTCAAAATTTGACACAAATTTTCAATTTTAAGTTGAGTATGCAGATTTATTAACTTTTTAAAAACTAACATAGAACTGTTTTCCGAATTAAAATTAATGCTTTTTTGGCTGAGTTATGAGTTTTTTAAACTTTGATTTATCATGAAAATTGTCCTATATTAATATCGATAAATATCGATTCTAAGAATGGGAATCTTTTAAGCTTTTCCTTTTCAATGCTTTAATTAATTTACAAACTGCGATTTCGGCTTCCCTAAGCTAACTTCCCTTCTTCTTAATATATCATTTTACTTATATTTTTCTCTCAATGTATTTGTGGCGCTACTTGGTATCTGAGACCACTGTCGCCACCGATCAGTTGTGATGTTTTGGGTCTGACTTCGCTGCGGGAGTTCACTGCGAAAAAAACGACGACGACTCCCTGCTTCAGCCTTAATACCTCGATCCCTCCCTGACCCCGATCCTCCAGTCCCATCCGACGTAATCCCTGGCTTAGACTGTGTAATAAGTGGATAGGTCCGGTGGTTTAGCCCTCAAGCGCAGACACGAAGGCGCATCAGAAAATCATTGGATGGAAAGTGTGATATTGGAGCTACTGGATCTATGGGTTTATCTTGGGCCAGAATCTGAGCACACTTTTGTGTTTGATGGGAAGCATTTAAGCGAGAAATTAGGAATGAGACAAACAGGTATCCAAGAAGAGAAACCATTTGGTAATGAAGGTAGAGGAGTGTTCTAAGCTTGTTTTTTTTTTCAATTTAAAAAGAATATTAAGTCATTTTTATGCACAAATCAAAGTTTAAAAATCTCATAACTCAGCCAAAAAAGCATTAATTTCAATTTTGAAAGCTAATCTGGGCTAGTTCTTAAAAGGTTTATAAAACTGCATACTGCATTTAATATTTTCATAAATTACAATTTTCTGGCGATTTTTGAAAAATTGTAACGATGTAACTCCTTTTAAAATTTTGAAAAAATTTATCAAAAATTTTGTCGTCCCAAAAATACCTAGTTTGATTCGCCTGTTAATGCTGATCAAGAATATATATGATTTATGGGGTCGGAAATGATTCCTTCACTCACTAAACTTTAAAAACCCTTTGTAAAGGTATGAAAATATATCTGTTAAAAATTGTAATAATAATACTGTAAGATTCGACTTTCCAAAGTTAACTTTCTTTCTAGTTTACCGCTTATAGTGATTCGATATATTTTATTGATTGGAATATGTTTTTGATATATAAAATATTAATCTAATACAGATTTTTTATATAATTCCATAAACCTAACAAAAAAACGTACTGTAATAAAATGTAATAAATTACTTCTTTGTTTGCCAATTATATTATTTCGATATAGTTCATTAAGGAAAACTTTAATGATTTAATATAGATTTGTATGTTCAGTATTTCGATACTTCATCGTTTCATTATCAATACAGTATCTCAATATATTCTGTCTTCCCTGTTCCCCACAAAGTTTAAACTATTATAGATTAAAAAAGGTTTTTGATATTCCCTATTTCGATTTGCCAAACTTTAAACATTCCTAAACCTAATACAATGCCTATAATAAATGGATTTAAGTGAGAACTAACTCCATCTCCATTTAATACATTTACAATCAGTCTCATTGTAAGTGTTTTAGGCTTGTAACCTTACTCCCATAGGGAATTGGTAACATTATTGACAAATGTTTGTTTTTTAGCAATATAACATTGTAAGCCGCATTGTTCGATATTTTCAGTTTCAACTTTCAACGATCGTAGATAGCAAAGCAGATCGTCCATGGGACACTGAAAATCTGCACTCTTTTTGTTTATTTACCTCTCGGTTTCTTTTTGGGGGCGTCTCCAACACGATGGCCAGGCTAAATTTGGTCATTTCTGGCCATCAGAATGGCTTTGGGTATGGGCCTGGCCCTGGCATTTGCGGCCAAAAGAGCCTCTGCTTGGGACTTTGACTCAGACTGAGACTCAAGACTCTGGCATTGGCTTTGGCTTAAAACTCAACTGGCATTCTTGTCCATATGGCCGGGAGCGAGGCAAACGATTGATTGAAGGCAAACGTAAGGAGGAGACTGGGCCAAAACTGTGGTAAAACTCAACTAAAAACTGGGGCCAACGGCGGCGGCTTTTGTTCATCTGCTACAAGCATCGCATTTAATGAGATTTATATCAGTTTTTAATAGCTTTGTGACTCTATTGTGTTGGCCATATCTGAGGCGAATCTGGGGCCACCTCGACGGCCGATAGAGATATATAAAAAAAATTCGTTTTTTGTAAAAAAAAATATGGCTGAGTGACCGGAGAAGCTAATGGTTTTTTTTATATACTTACGTTTCAGTGTTGACTCCCGGTGTGTGTTTATATCTCTATATATATATATATAATATATTATATATATATATGATCAAGTCTTGTCTCGGTATCCACAGATCTGATAAAGGGAAAAAGAGCAAAATAAGGGTCAGTTGATAGCCAAAGTCTATATATAATCGTACAATCTATAGCCTATAGAAACCATCATCACGATTGTCAATATTGATGATTTGTGCCAACAGCCAGACATTCGTCACAAATGTCAAATGCTTGGGTACACAGCAATAAAATCGACACATTTCACACATCTATGCCAGAAATCGAATCTCCATTGAAATCGACTCTTAAAGATCGATATTCGTTTGCCGAATTCAACGCAAATTGACGCATACTGCCCCACGCAAATGGTGTTAATTTAAATCAAATGACAAAATATAATAAACGACCATAAAATTTAATCCGAATCTTTTCTAAAACGATACGAACAAATGTGCCAAGTGCTTGGGCACACACAACAAAGAAAAAAAGAAAAATATTTGTCATATACTTATATTTAGGGGATTAAGTCGACATAGCTAATACGCTTTTAAACTAATCTTTAATAAATTATATTTGAGGTTTGGCTAATTTTGTTAGTAGTTAAATTAAAATACCAAGTTAAAGTTGTGAGAGATTGAAATAGTATTTAATGGTAATTAAAATATTTTAGGATTTGAAATCTCTTTAATAAGGAAATACCCTTCACTGATAATTATTATTAGATGCTCTAAATGATTAAATAAAGAAGTAAAGAACTATAAATTCAAGTTTTGAGACAGTTAATCCCTTTAAAAAGCAATTAATATATTTGGTACATCTTTGTAGTGTACATTTCTTGGGTTTTATATAGTTTTGGGCTGTATTATTATTTACTATGTATATCACTTCATACTAAATTTTATTATATCTTCAGAATCAAAACTTAATAAGAAGAAGAATATAAATTCTATTAAAATTACAAAATTGAATATAGTTATATTGTATAAAATTTTGTAGAATGGTTCCTGAACACTTTTTTAATGGGTTTAAAAACCTGAGACCATTCTTAAGAACTCTTGTTAATAAGGAAATACCTTTCAATATAATTTTAACCATTCTCTGATAATGATTATAAAATAAACCAAATGAATTTGTGACAAAATATGAATTCAATTCAAATAGTATTTCTTATATATCCAAATATCTTCTATTATCTCCCTGATATACCCCATCAAAAGTCATGTAGAGTGCATGCAACATGTAGCCAAAGTTGACAGCATATGACACAAAAGTGTAAAAAGAAAACCAATTAAATGAGCTAATCAAATTGTATTGTCATTAGCACCCAACAGTAACAACAACATCAATAATGGATAAATAAAAAACCAAATTTAAACGGCTTATTAGCAGTACCATTTAGGTGTTTTCGTCAGTTTTACAGCCATTATGTTGTAAGTAAAGAGAACCCCACAAGGTGTTTTGTGTATAACTCAGGAATTTAAAAAGTAATCAAAGGGAGTGGGTTTGAAAACTCTAAAATAACTGAAATTTAAATCAAATCAAATAATTTAAACTCTGCTTTTGATCCCTTCCCCTTCCCAACTTAGAGATTTCACTTTATTTATTTATTTTAAAGATTCAACAGTTTTAGCTAGACAAACATTGCCACAATTCATTAGCTTAATTATCAGCTGCATACAACATGTCTTATAATGGTTGACCGTGTGGCGCATGTCAACCAGCCAGATCGACAGCCATCAAATATATAACAACTATAAGCTATATATAAATATATATAGCATTGATTACAGAATTACTATAGCTAGATTGTATTTATCAGCCCTTCTCAACTGGTGATTTTCCCATTAAATACAGCAAGTTATATATACATATACTCTATGACAAAATAGAAAATAAAAAAGCCCTGGCAAGTATTGATTAATTAATGAAAGAGTCCTTCGACTCTCTGCATGACTGAATATTTGATGTGTCCGGTGTTCCACAACTCCCTCTATTTTTCCTGATCCCTGCGAATATAGACACGAGTGCTTCCCGTTGACATTGTAATTGAATCAATAATAAAATCAAAATGTACAACGAAGACAATGACAATCGGGTTTCGACCCCCAGTTCATATGTGTCTCTCTTTTCGTATCCGTATCCGTATCCCTGTCCGCGTCTACATGTCCATGTCCATTTCCCCTGTCTGTTTTCAGGAATGGCAACGTCACCTTCACCGTCACCAGCTCTCTCAAGAGTCCGGGACCCTCTTTTTGAGTACCAATGGATGTGGCTTGGGACAGATCCCTTTCTCAACAACACAGAGAAAAATAATAATATCAAGTGCATAATATTTTTAATATAATTAAGGGATAATTATAAAAGAAAAATGGCAATAGTATTTATGAATTTACAACGATTTAAAGGGGTTCTATAGGAAAAATAGTATGACAAATGCAGAAAAATACCAAAACTAATATATTATATTATATTTGTTGACATAAAATTATTATAGTAAATAACCTTGTTGAAATCTAAAAATTAAAAAGAACATATATATTTGAAAAGCAGAGTGAGCCTAGGACTCCAGCTCCCAGATCTAGATAATAATAAAACTCCAGCATACAGATCTAGATGATAATAACTACAGATTTATTATTATCTAGATCTAAGAGCTGGAGTTTAATGATATATTTTATTATTATAAATCTGTAGTTATTATCTAGCTGGAGTCGTTTTCCCATGTTTTGTCTTGAATAAAGCTAAGCTAAACTTTATAAAGATCTAAGCCCCATTCAAATTAAATTACAATTAAAGAAACTGCTAATTTAGACCGAAAAGTTTACAATTTTAAAGAAAAGAAAGTTATAAACAAAAATCAAATCAAAGATAGCGAGGCTTTATGATCTTATAAAAAGAAGACTCTTACAAAATGCATTCAGATTATTTAAATTTCAATTTAATTCATAGATTTCACATACTTATTGCTTTAATCTTGTTATCTTGCACTTGACACATGCAACTCGTTTCAAATAAAAAAACATATATTTTTTTATTTCTTTCTGTGATCGTGTGTGTTCAATCAATGACTTCGACTTTGGCTGAAACTGTCTGTCTCTCCTCGGTGTGTGTGTGTGTGTGCATGTGTGTGTCTTTGCCTTTTAGAATTTGTTATAATGTGTATATACATATTTCATTTTTGAACTGTCTCCCTGACAGCCAACGAACGATTTGAGTGACGTACAAAACGATGTCGTGTTGTCGTGCCACGGACCAAGTTCGCGTCCAACCAGGTTGACTTTATGTCGCTGCTCCTCCGCTCCGCTTTTTTTATTTTTTTGCCATATAAATATATAAATATATATATTCATATATATATATATATATATAAAGCTAGCTAGTGAGGAATATATATAGTAGAGTCAATCGGACAGACACGGCAATAGTGACTTTGACTTGAAAGCAACGAGCGGGCGATTTCTCGAGTGCGACGTCAAATCAACTGAACTTTTCATTAAGGCCTCTTTGAAGTTCGGCATTAACCCTTTGGTGTATGCCGGTGTGTATTTCCTCCTTCCATACACATGACATTGCCATTGGCTTTTTGGATTTTTGCTTTTTTTCTTTTGCTTTTTTTCTTTTGCTTTTGCTTTTGGATTTTGACTTTACTGCAACTGTCGCCGTTTAAGTGATCTGGCACCCATTAGCAGTTGATCCGCAGGCGGCCCCGGTTGTGGAGGCTGTAGGGAACCCCAAACACTGAAGAGGCTCAGCCACACACGACTTGACTTTGTCAGCGGCGTGACAATTCCGCATAAATCATAATCCTTGCGGTGTGGCTTGGCCCAAAGAGTTAACGTAACGACGACGTTTGGCGTCGTCAACTGTATGGGTTTTAGCTCACGCTTCTCGGTTGTGCCAACAAACTGACTGGTTTGCCGCCAAAAAGGGGATATATCTAGAGGTTATATATATTTCAAGAGGTCTAAAAGATATATTATTTAGAAAAGATGGTATCTTTCAACAACTTCTAAACAACTAAAAGTGGGTAGTGTTTAGTGTCAACTGAGGTTGAATTAGTTCAACAACAGAACATTTAGCAACAGAAGATTTAACATCAGAACATTTAATAACAAAACATTCGTCAGCCGAACATTTAGTAGCTGAAGATTCAACAACAGAACATTCAATAACAGAAGACTAAACAGGAAAATGTTTAACAACATTCACCAACGGAGTATTCATAAAAGGAGAACATACAACAACAGAAAATGTAAGAACCCAACTTTCAACAACATAACATTCAATATATCAACAGAACATTATTCGGTTTATAAAGGGTTTTCGACATAGTCTTATTAGAAGACTTAAACCCAGCAAGCTGACGACCTTTATTTTAAATGTAAAATAAACATTTTTAATGCCATATTCACCCTTTGTGAATTTGAAATAAAACTAAGATAGTTATAAGATGGGTATAAGTAAAAAATCACATTTTTACATGGAATATCTTTTTATGACCCAAAATATAATCAGATTTATTAGGAAAATTAATATTAAATGACTAATTAAGCAATTCCAAAGGTATAATCGACTGTAAAGACCTTGAGATTATTTTTACATTTTAACTGCTGTAAATACGGCTTAGTCCTACCAATATTTTATGTATACTTATATTTCAAATTCTCAAAATCATTTCCTTGACAATTTTCTGCCTTGAATTTCTCCCTCATTTTGTCCAACACTATCCCTGAGGCTGATGTAGAAAGAGGTCTGGGGAAATCCAAACTGGGAATGGAATTGGGGACCTGGAATTGCGACTACGACAGGCATTTGGCGGCGCGCGTTTGCGTTTTGCGTTTGGAGTTTAGAGTTTGAGTTTGGCTTTGGGTTACTTTGAGAGGCAGCCGTCATGGCGGTGTCAGTGGCTGTGCCGGCCGGGCGAGCGACCAGGCCTCATACAAGCAGACAGTTAGTCAGTCAGTCAGTCAGTCAGTCAAGTCAAGTCAGCCAAGTCAAGTCACAAAGGAAGCACTTGAAAAGTGAACATGTTAACGGGGCGAAATAGTTCGTCGCCTCCTATTCGGTCTTCAGTTCTTT